ATGAATGAATGAATGAATGAATGAATGAATGAATGAATGGAGATTAAAAATTGAGTGCTAGCACTTATGGGAATTAAAGCCAAGGTTGGATAATTGCAATTTGGGGGTTTCTACTAATTTGTTATTCTCTAGAAATGGGGCTTTGCTTATTGAGAGGGTTGTCTGGTCAGCATTTAGTCCCATAGATCAAAAGGTCCAAACTATACATTAAGGTCCAAGATGGCCAATACCTCTCCAGAATCTTCAGTGGGGTGGACAGGGATTTATCGGACCTAGCCCAACTAACCAAAATCCTTTGAAGAGGAGATGAAAAAAACTTAACCTGAGATCTCTGCTTCCAGAGACCAAAATTTAATTGTTTACTCTCAACTATGGGAGACCCATTGAATCAACAGAAACTTGATAAGTCAACATTTATGGACTTTGAGATGGGCATCTTCAGTAGGTCTAAGAACCAATCCCCCTGCCCCAGAGTCTCTTCTGCTGTTATAGTAGACTCAGACTGCAAAAACAATAAAACTGGGCGGGGGGAGGGGGGAGAACCCAGAAATTGCTAGAAGAGATCCACTTCTGTTTTTTAAAAATGGGTATTTGAGGATACATGACCTATTTTAAGGGTTAAGCACTTGGAGGAAGGAAAGAGAATGACTGGCTGAGAGGAAAAAAAGCTCAAGAAGGCTGCATGTAGCCCAGAAATATTTATTTCTCATCATTTATTTATTTTATTTATTTATTTTGCCCCAAAGTGGCTCACAACAATTACAACCCTGCAATAACAACAGTTAAAATGCCATACAAAACTATATATTAAAAAAATAACAATTAAAAGTTATTCAGGATTGAACCCATGGGTCTCCTCTATTTGGTACTAAATATTGGATTCAGCTCCAAGTATATGCTCTACTTTTGAGTTATGGCCACTCAAAATAAATGCACTTTGTAATTGTGTTTTTATTGCAGCAAGCAATGACGATGTGAGTGGGAAAGAGGAGGAAGATCTTCAGCTGGAAAAGCTGCAGCAGGAGGGGCCATCACTACGAAGGACTAAGGAAGGGTGCGTCCTCTTTCCTGAGATGGGAGACGTGGCTGGGAATCAGCTGACAGCTGGAAGGAAATGCTTTCAGTTTCCTGAGATGGAAGAGACACGCGGGAGTTAGGAAGCAGTCGAGATACATGAGGAAAGCCTTCTAGAGGTGACCGTGAAAAAAGCCTTTGTCTGCAAAGAAAAGAAAAATTCCAGTGAAAGCACTTTGAGCATTGAACTTGGGGTGGAGGGGAGTAAAAAGAGCCCAGAAAGCAGCTGCAAAATCTCCACCCAGAGCCCTGGTCCTCTTAAAAACCGGGAAAGACGCCGTACCAGTGCTGCTACTGCAGGAAAATCTTCAATCGTGCCTCAGCTCATTTGGTGCATGAGAGAATTCACACAGGGAAGAAACCATACAACTGCTTGGAGTGTGGGCAGAGTTTCAGTCGGAGATCGCACCTAACTAGACACCACAGAATCCACACGGGGAGAAGCCCCACATGTGCTCAGAGTGTGGAAAGAACTTCAGTCAGAGATCGCACCTTATTGAACATAAGCGAACTCGCACGGGGGAGAAACCATTTGTGTGCTCCATCTGTGGGAAAAGTTTCTACAGTGGTGCCTCGCTTGACAACGATAATGTGTTCCGTTAAAATCGCTGTTAAGCGAAATCGTCATCAAGCAAAATTAAAAAACCCATTGAAATGCATTTAAAACCGTTCAGTGCGTTCCAAGGGGCGAAATACCTCAGCGTCCAGTGAAGATCCTCCATAGGGCGGCCATTTTCCGGTGCCTGTAATGCAAGGAATCCGTCCTAAAGCACAGCGGTGAGCAATTTTGCACAGCGGGTGGCCATTTTGAAACCCGACGATCAGCTGTTTTTGATCGTCATTAAGCGAAAAATCGGTTCCCGAAGCAGGGAACCAATCAGCGTTAAGCAAATTTTCCCCATAGGAACATCATTTTGCGATCGCAATAGCGATCGAAAAAAAAAACATCATAAAGTGGATTCGGCATTTAACTAGGTCATCGTTAAGCGTGGCACCACTGTATTACCATTCACACTTTAAAGACCATGCAAGAATTCACACAGGAGAAAAGCCATATAAATGCTCAGATTGTGGGAAAAGCTTCAGCCGAAGAGAAAACTTTATAAGAGAACGCACAGAGGGGAGAAACTTTATGAGTGCCTGGACTGTGGGAAAAGATTCAGTCAACGATTGAACATTATAGCACACGAGACAATACACATGGGGGAGGGAATATATAAATGTGCAGAGTGCGGGAAAAGTTTCTGCAGTTCTGATGTTCTCCTTAAGCATCAGAAAGTCCACACAGAAGAAAAACCATCATACACATGCTAGCACTGCCTGTAGAACTGTTGAATTATTTGGGTTTTTAAGGTGTATGTTCCAGGCTATTGGTGTAAGAGAAAGGCCATAAAATAAAGTCACAAGATATCCATGTACGCCGCCCCGAGTAGACATTGTCTAGGGGGCGGGGTAAACATCTAATAAATAAATAAATAAGATTGTACTACGTCAGACTGTAAGTGGAGTTCACATGAAAGAGCCATCCAACTTGGTTTTTAATAAATGCCTAAAGCAAGCCTGCATCCATCTGCATTATTCATTGGAGGGTCATTTTCAGTGCCCACACCAGTGGTCTAGAGTAGATAAGGTGAGGTTTATGAGCCTTGTGTGGCCCCTAGTAACAATGAGCTTCCCCAGCTCCTCACCACACCAAATTTCTTTTAAAATGATTTTTTAAAATATTTGCTCAAAAACATTTTGTGTCCTCCAAGTGGCATGGGAGTCAATTCTTCTCAGTTTGAGGGGCCCCTAATATTCCTGCCCCCACCCAACTTTTTGTAAATGTAAAATAACATTTTTGACCACTAGAGAACATGACAAGATTTTTCATTTTAAAAAAGGACTTAAAATTCAAAGATAAAAGGGGGCAAAGCACAGGGGTGGATAAGGCTCACTAAGGTCTAGGATGGCTGTGTTTTGCCTTTGGAATTTATCCACGCCTGGCCTTCACCCTTGGTTTTGGAAATGATGCATCCTGCTTCTGCCATTTATAAATACTGTAGATGGCTCTGAGAGATGGGTGGGGGCAGCTGCTTCCTTAAGGTGGCTTGCGTTTTGCATATGTGAAACCTGTTATCACAAAGTCTGTTTCCATTTTCCCTTTTTTGAGGACCAGCATTCATCGTTTCTTCTACCCTTCCTAACTTAAGCTTCTGTTTCATTCCCTTTGTTAAGGCTACTGTTATTTCTTTTAAAAGGGGGCAAAATCAAAACTGAAAAATCACTCTGCTTAGGAAGGTGTGATGGTGATTTTTTTAACGGCATGGTCCAGAATATTTTCACCTTGTTTCTGTTTTTGCTTTCTAAAGCTCTCTTTACCCTCCCTGCACTAGTCATCTCTCTAGGCAATATTGCCTCGTGTAAACAGAGAGGCAGGAGAGGAAGGGCTGTGTATGCTGCCCAGCTGTGTATGCCGCCCAGCCTTCTCCCTTGCGTTCTATCCCCTGATTCTATGGCATTTCGCACAATATAGGAATAACATTTGAACTGTGCTACATGGTCAGCATATGTAGGCTGAGCTTCCCACTTCAGATCTTTCCCTGAAGGACTGCAGGAGGAGCAATTAAGGTGGCGCCCGCAAGTACAACCAATTTCTCCACCTCTGTTGGAGGGAGAGCTGACCAAATGAATTTGAATGCATAAAGACGGTTAGTGCAAAACGAAATATGCAACTGGCAGAAATTTAGAAAAGTGCTTCTGGACTACAACTCTTGGAACCTGCTTGCTATTTTGGCCACTATGAATTCTGGAAGCTCTAGTCCAAAAAAATGACATTTCCATCCTTAGGTAATTGAGGACAATTAACAGACCATGATGCCATTATGTTGTCTTTTTCCTTAGATGCAAGAGTGATAGTGGGCAATCTAGGTGGATGGAGGATTTGTGTTACAAACAGAACATCCGTCCCTCTTCTCATGTTCCCCCACTCCCTCTTAAGGCCCAGCATGTTCTGAAAAATAAGCATTTTGTCTGCTACTGTAGGAATGGATGGGTGTCAGGGTTGCAAGATATGCTTTTTTCAGTAGAAACCCAGGACCTATTAACAAAGCAACGACTAAGAGCTTGAGGGTCCCTCAATTCATATAATTATTGTAGCTTGCGCTTCTGTGGTCTTGTTTATTGAATGCATATAAGGGAATATTGTCCATGAAAGACTAATGTATTAGTCTTTCAAGTGACATAGGACAGGATTATTTCCTACTATCACCAACACAGATGTTACATCAACTTGTGCTATTAAGCAGAAGCCAACTTAGAGCTACTGTAAATTGGCTTTCAAGGTACCGTGAGACATTTAAGGAAGTTTTATCAGTGTCGCTATTAAGCAGAAGCCAATTTAGAGCTACCGTAAATTGGCTTTCAAGGTACAGTAAGTGAGACATTTAAGGAAGTTTTATCAGTGTCAACCGCATCTCCCATTTTTACAGTTGTCTGATGGACTGCTGATTTATTCTGTTGCACAGAATCGTTTGCTGCAGTATCGTGCAGCAATAAATCAGCTGCTGCATGCTGTAAACAAGGGAAGGTTTATTGTGTTCCCACATGAATATCTGGGAGTCAAAAATCCTTGCTGATCTATTTCAAATCAGTCAGAAATGTATCAGTAGAACCAGAATTCATGCACAGGTGGTACTTTGTCAGGCTAGGTAGAAAAAACGTTCAAACTGTTGAGTTTACTAACTCATCCGATAAAAATATTACAAAAGTAGGCAGGGTGGTGAGGATTAAATCCTTGCTGCATGTTGTATCTTGGACTATGAACATGCGGGTTGCAGACGATAAAATGCATCTCATCAAAAGATGGGATGCTAATCGATTTCAGGAGGGGTAGCCAAGTTAGGGTGGTAGGCCATTTTGAATGAATGAATGACTATTAGGGTCAAAGACCAGTAAAGGTAGGCCATTTTGAAGATTACTCATTCATAGGGCCGCCATAAGTCGAAAGCGACTTGCTGGCACATAAAACTTGAAGCAACAAAATTACAAACATTAGGGTATTGTGTTTTGTATTTATTCATTCATTTATTGTATTTATATCCTGCCCATCTGATCAACTGACCACTCTGGGCCAATTTTTTAAAAAATGTATGTCCCCCACAGCAATTTAAAAGTTGCATCCACCCAGCAATTTTTTAAAAATATATGCCGTCACAGCAATTTAAAAGTTGCATCCACCCAGGTTGCTTCGCTAGTCAAAATCACCAACAACCAGATTAGAGCCTGGAATGTTATTTGCATTACAACATCCCACAACCCCTCGTCCAGCACAGTCCTGTTGATTGGGGGTGGGGTGTCAGGGGGTTGAGTCCAAGTTCTGTGTCCCCGATTGTCTCAAAATGTCCGATTCCTGTTTCCTATTTTCCACTCGCCACCCTATTTCGACAAAGGGTCAGGCTGGGGGAAAAAATTTCCCCGGATGGGCTTCCCATCCCAGCGAAGGCGGGCGAGCGTTGCAACCCGAGAGGGAAATGAGGTCGCCACCGGAAGGGGCTGGATCCGCTCTCGGTGGGTGGGTGGGTGTGCAAGGGCCGAGGACGGCCGAGCAATCCGGAGCGCAGATCCGGGGTGGGGAGAAGAGAGAACAAAAGGGCCGCGAGCAAGCGGCGCTCCGTTGCAGGATTTTTCTTGCAGCCCTTCGTGTGTAAGTATTGCTTTCTTTCCCGCGTTTCGGAATCAGATCGCGAAGTTCTTGCGGCTTCCTTTGTCCCTTGAGACCCGGGCCCGGATCAGCCACGGATGATCTTGGGAAAGGAGGGCGAGCCCGACCCAAGCGAGAACTGCCGCAGCCCGGCGCTTGCAAGGGGCCGTTTTGCTCTCGAGCAAACCCGCCCACCGTTTAGAGGTTTTGCGGAGGAAGAAAATTGAAGAACGGGGAGGGGGGGGTCGTGCTATTTTGCACCAGGCGTGCAAAAGAGGCAAGGATAGGAGGGGGGATTGCTCGTCGTGTAAAACAGGGTTGGGGAACGTGTAGCCCTCCGAATGTTTATGGACTACTGCTCCCATCATTCCCCGCCATTAGCCTTGGAGGGCTGGGAGTTATGGGAACTAGAAGCCGATCCAATGGGGGGGTGCACAGAAGCTCGGCTGTAAAAGATTGGCCATAATAATTGTATTCAGGCTTGATTAATATTAGCGATAAGGCTGCAGATTTGTGCACAACTATATGAAAATTGAGCTCCATTAACTGTTAATAAAAAACCAAATGTAGATGTTTCAAAAATAGATCTTGAGTGGCAGGAGTCTAGGCCCTGAACATAAGGGAAAATTCTGGAACACCTATACGTCTTTAATGCAGAATGATTGTTTCTTACACTGGTTTGCTCTGCATGCTTATTTCTTTGTGATTGTTGTTATCTGCCATCAAGTCGCCTCCAATGACTGTTTGAATGAGAGATCTCCAAAATGGCCTGTCCTCAACAGCCCCCTGCTCTGCTTTTCTAAACTCGTTTGTGGCTTCCTTTAAGGAGTCAGTCCATCTTGTATCTGGTCTTCCTCTTTTCCTGCTAACGTCAAACTTTCCCAGCATTATTGTAGTTTTCAGCAAATCTTGCCAACGTCAAACTTTTCCGGCATTATTGTAGTTTTCAGCAAATCTTGCCTTCTTTTGATGTGCCCAATATGGAACAGCATCAATTTCATCACTGTTGCCTCCAGAGAGCATTCAGGCTTGATTAATGTGAACAGCATCAGTTTCATCATTGTTGTCTCCAGAGAGCATTCAGGCTTGATTTGCTCCAGGACCCTTTTGTTCATCTTTCTAGCAGTCCGGAGTATCTACAAAGTTCTCCTCCAGCACCATATTTTAGATGAATCAATCTTCTTGTCAGCTTTCTTCACTGTCAAGCTTTTACACCCGTCTTTTAGAAATCGGGAATACAACAGTGTGAATGATCTTGGCCTTGGTCCCCAGTGCCACCTCCTTACACTTGATGATCTTTTCTAATTCCTTCATTGCTGCCCTTCCTTGGTTTTCTGCTGATTTTTTGGCTGCAATCTCCATTTGAATTGACAACAGAATCAAGGTATACAAAATTATTAACAGTCACAATTCCTTCGTTGTCAACATTAAAGTTGTTTAGAGGTTCTGTAGTCATGTTGTTGTTGTTGTTGTTGTTGTTGTTGTTGTTGTTGTTTGTCTTTATGTTCAACAGCAGCCCTGCTTTGGCACTTTTTTCTTCCATTTTACTAAAAGTTATTCCAAGTCATTGCTTCTTTCTGCCAGGAAGATGGTGTGATCTGTATATCTTAAAGTATTGCTGTTCCATCAAGTTTCACTCCTCCATCTGATTATAATCCAGTTTTCCTTATGACACATTCAGCATATAGATTGAAAAGATAGGGAGATAAAATGCAACCTTATTTGACACCTTTGCCTATAGGAAAACACTCTGCCTCTCCAGCCTGTCCATATTCTGTTCTAATGGTAGCTTATTGTCCACAATACTGTTACACATCAGGACACTCAAGTGCTAAGGTACACCGATATCTTTCAGAACAATCCATAGTTTCTCATGTTCCATACAGCCCAAGACTTTACTGTAGTTTATAAAGCATAGATTGATCTGAAATTCTTTGGTGTGCTCCAGCAGATCTTGAGTGCCTCTTCCTTTTTGGAACCCAGTTTAAGCAACAGGCATTTCTCACTCCATATAAAGTAAACACCCTGAGCATTACTTTGCTTGCATGAGGAATTAGAGAAATGGTCCTATAATTCCTTGGCATCTCCTTTATTGGGAATTGGAATGCGTACTGAATACTGTACAGTATTTCTAATCTGTGGGCCTTTGTTTTGTTTTCCATATTTGTTGGCATATTATTGTTTGCATTTTGAAAGATTCTGTATACAGTATTAGAATAGTTCTATTGGCATTCCATCTACGTCTGGTGATTCATTTATTCCCAGTGCTTTCTGAGCAGCTTTCACTTTACTTTCTAGAAATGTAGCTTCACCATTATAGGACTCCTCTTCAAATGAACTATTATTCTTTTATATCTTCTGTACAAGTCTTCAGTATACTGTTTCCACATTCTCTTTATTTTATCCTGGTCACAAAGTGTGCTTCCGTCTTAATCTTTCAGCGTTCCTAATCTAGGCTTATATTTCCCTTTGATTTTTTGGATCTTCTGAAAAATACTTATTGCTTTTCCTCTTCTGTCGTTCCATTCCATTTTTTGTTTGCTTTTGCATTGACCATTATAATCATTCTGTTTGTCTCTATATGACAGTCACTGAAAAGTCGTGTTCAAGATTCTGACCCTATTTCTGTCACCTTTTACTTTGCTTCTTGCCTATTCATTTTTCCCCTACAGGAACTACAGGAATTGTGTCTTTCCACTCTTCCCTAATGATATCTCTGCTTTCAATCCACAATTTTTCTAGTTCATGGTCAATTGAGAATAGTTCAAATTGGTTCCTTTTGTAGACATTAAATTAATCATGAATATTGTTTAAATTATATTTTGGAACAATGATTCTCTTAAGTGATCTTTTCACCTTTACTATAATGTTTGATATTCACATTTCATGATTAGTGCAATAATTTGGCTCTGATCTTATTTTGGCAAAGAGAATACTGCTTCTCCATCTCCTGCTTTCAGTTACATAGTCTAGTTGATTTCTGTACTGACCATCTGGTTATGTCCACATGTACAGCTATCTATTTGATTGTTTGAAGCATGTCTTTGTAATAAACAGATTTTTGGCTTCGCAGAACTCCCAAGTCATTCTTCTGCTTTAATTCTTTCCCCTAGGCCAAGTTTTCCAACAGCATTTGGTTCTGAATTGTTTCCTATACAGTGGTGCCCCGCATAGCGATGATAATCCGTTCTGGATAAATTGTCGCTATCCGGAATCGTCGCTATACGGGGCAAAAAACTCCATAGGAACGCATTGAAACCCCTTCAATGCGTTCCTATGGGGGTTAAACTCACCGTTCAGCGAAAATCCTCCATACGGCCGCCATTTTCGCCGCCTTGGTAAGCGAGGAAATTGCAAGAAAATGCTGCGGGTGGCCATTTTCTTCACCCAGCGGCCATTTTGGAACCGCCAATCAGCTGTTGGGGAAACATCGCAATGCAAAGATCGGTAATCAAAACACTTACCGATCATCGCATTTCGATTTCCCCCATTAAAAACATCGCAATGTGGATTCGTTGTTAAACAGGGCGCTCGTTATATGAGGCACCACTGTATTTGTGTTCCAGTCACCTATGATTATAAAAGCAAAGCGTGCTGCATATATACCGTCCCATAACGCTTTAAGCACTCTCTGGGCAGTTTACAAGTTAATTATGTAAGCTACACATTGCTGCCTTCCCCCCCCCCAGCTGGGTACTCATTTTACTGACCTCAGAAGGATAGAAGGCTGCGTCAACCTTGAGCGGGTTACCTGGGATTGAACCCCAGGTGATGAGCACAGTTTTGGCTGCAGTACTGTACAGCCGTTTAACCACTGTGCCATGACTTGTTTAGGTGTGTGATCAGTTTCCTCCTGAATGCTTGCATAAAAGCTTTCAGTTTCTTCGTCTTCAGCATCAGTAGTTGGCATAGACTTGAATGGTGGTTGTTCTGATAGGTTTTTCATGGAGTCTAATGGATATTATTTGGTCAGACCTTGTATTATAGTGTCTAACTGCCTGTACAGCATCTTGCCTTAGTAATAGAGCCATTCTGTTTCTTGGATTTGTCATTTCCATACAGTGGTGCCTCGCAAGACGATGTTAATTCGTTCCGCGAAAATCGCTATCTTGTGAAAACATCGTCTTGCAAAATGCGATTCCCCATTGGAAAGCATTGAAATCCATTTAATGTGTTCCAATGGAGAAAAAAATTGTCGTATTGAGAAAATTGCCCATAGAGAAACGTTTTGCGAAGCACGGACCAGCAGTCAAAATCGCTGTCTTGCGAAAAACTGTCCCCCCCTCCAAAAAAAAAGTTTTGCGAAGTGCGGACTCAGCTATCAAAATCGTCATCTTGCAAAAAACGGTCCCAAAAAAACCCGTCTTGCGAAGCATGGACCAAAGCATCGTCTAGCGAAAATTGCCCATAGGGAAAACTGTTTTGCGAAGCGCTATAGCGATCGCAAAAAAACATCTTGCAAATTAACCGTTTTGCGAGGTAATCGTCTAGTGAGGCACCACTGTATTTTGTAGTTGTTTAACTGAAAATATCCTGTTCCAGTCCACTTTAGTTCATGAACACCAAGCAATGTTTATATGTTCCATTTCTCCCTTTACTGTTTCCAGTTTATTTTCATTCATACTACTCGCATTTCATGTTACAATTGTATGTGTTGTGTAACATCGGACTTTCCTTTCACTTCTGTGTACTTCAACCACTTTGAAAATGTATTCCAGAGGTGACGTAAATTCAGATCATAATCTTTGTCATCACTGTCAATACAAATGGAAAAAAATACAGTGATCATTATCAGTAGTAGTTTTATTTACATGCCGCATTTCTCAAATATCTTTAATCAGCTTGAATGGCTTAGAAAAATTGAATGTCTATAGAAAAATTGTAGGATAATTCGTTCTGTGAGACAGATAATTTAAAGAATATACTTTAATGTACAGTGGTGCCTTGCTTGATGAGGATAATTCGTTCTGTTCAAATTGCTGTTAAGTGAAATCCTCGTCAAGCAAAACGAAAAAATTGAAAACTGGTTCATTGCGTTCCAATGGGCAAAATACCTCAGCGTCCAGCGAAGATCCTCCATAGGACAGCCATTTTCCGGTGCCTGTAATGTGAGGAATCCATCCTAAAGTACAGTGGGGAGTCATTTTGCACAGTGGGGTGGGCGACGACCAGCTGTAAAGATTGTTATTAAGTGAAAAATTGGTTCCCGAAGCAGGGAACCGATCGCCGTAAAGCGGTTTTTCCCTATTAGAACATTGTTTTGCGATTGCAAAAGCGATCACAAAAACTTCATCGTAAAGCAATTTCCTCGTCTAACGAGGTAATCATCAAGCGGGGCACCACTGTATATTGAAAGATCAATGAACTAAAGTGTGTTTTTTAAAAAGCAGTGCCTACAATTAGTGGATAGTAGGAACTCTCTGATACTGTACTTTATATCAAGTGTAAAATCGCAGTGTGTAGTAAGCACTTTAAACCAACACAGATAACAAACCAACACAATTTTATTTTACCAGATGTTGATACTGCACTAGAACGACAACATCTGAAATTCAGTACAGCTAACAAGGAATAGCCAAGCTTCCAGAGTTCATGTTATTGCAGAAGTATTAAAGCTAACATAAATAAATGACTTAGGCATTAAGTGAAATGTTTGTAATCAGATCTAAAGAATAGCAATAACTCATGAAATGTGACTGAAAGCAGCTCTTGGTATATTATGTACAATTTAAAAACCAAATAGGGTGCTAACTACAGAATTATAAGCTTAATGAATCATTTGCTTAAGGTTTTCGTAAAGATAACACATGGCGAAATTCACACTGAGTGTGACAAAGAGGTATAAGACACACTGTTTATATTCAGTGGAGTTGTGGAATCAAGGAAACACTATTTTGCCTACATATAGCTGGGGACACATGGCTTAATATGAATTTATCTTGCTTTGTTGACTGTTGACCTTTTTCAAAGTCCAGCACAGTGAACTGATGAAACTGTTGATAAAAAAAAGTCTGGATTCAAGAGATATATAATTGGCAACCTTTACTGGCAACAGAAATGTAGTGAAAGTTGGAAATCAGAGGATGTAGAGGTACTTGGAGGAGTACAACAAGAATGTAAATTCTTGTCAGTGCTTTTAAATTTATATTCTAAGAACAACTTTGAAGAAGTACTTGCTGATTCAAATGACAGCATCAGTGTCAATGGAGGGATTTCTAATAACATCCAGTATGCAGATGAGACATTATTTTTAGCTTACAATTTAGATGGCCTGCAAAAATTTATAATGTCACTTAAAGGAATAGTAAACACAATCTAAAGAGAAATGTTGAGAAAACCAAGTTCAGGATAACCAATTAAGTAAGCAGTCCATGAAAATTCAGGTAAATATCCAAAATGGGTCTCCTTGACAGAGGCTGGACTCAGTGATCCATAGGGTCCCTTCCAGTCCTGCAGTTCTAAGATTATTTTAATATTAAGTCAAACAGCATTAATTACTGTGGTGGATAAGCTGCTAATTCAGACATGTATCACACACACCAGTCACATGACTTGGTGCACGATGAGAAATAACATGCACCAACTACCCTGTCACATTTTGCACCTATAACAATTTGCCTTGTTATAAGGTCCTTATACCACAGGATTCTGGCTAGTGAGTACCATGGCCAAATGTGCATTTGAATCTATATCTCCTCAGTTATAGTCCAACACTTTAGTCACTTCTCCACATTGGACTAGTGGTTTAACTCAGTATAAGCAGATTTTGGAACTACAAAGTAAGTAACATCTCTAAGTTCTTGAGTACAAGAACTTATGTTACAATGTGTCTTTGATTTTCCAACTTATTTTTTTGCTGATGCCCTAGACTGCTTAATAGAAATATTGCTTTGTTTAAGCAGGTTCATGATGATGAGGAACGGAGAGATGTTTGTGAAGGTGGAGGTGATCCCCCAGGAGGAGGAGGAGGAGGAAGAGGAAAACCTGGTGACAAAGGCGGAGATGATCCAGCATGAGGAGGAAGGGAGTCTGGTGAAACAGGAAGAGATCCCCCAATATGAGGAAGGGTACTTGGTGAAACAGGAGATGATGTTTCCAGAGGAAGGTTTTGAACATTCTGAAGAAACAGCTGCATTTCTAGAAGAATATGAAATCAATGTTTTCCAGATTCCTGGAGATGATGATGATGAACCCTGTGACATTGAGCCTGGTCCTGAAAGCGAAGAATATGTCCCCAAAAAGAGACGTTGTAAAGCGGCGCCGCAGAAGGGAGCTGCATCAGAATCCAAGCAAACCGCAGTCAAGAAGCCAGGAAGAATCTATAAGTGCCCTGATTGTGGGAAAATCTTCAAGCGGTGCTCACCCCTTATCAGACACCGAAGAACCCACACCGGAGAGAAGCCGTATGTTTGCCGCGAATGCTTGAAACGCTTCAGTGACAGCTCAGCCCTTGTGAAGCACCAAAGGATCCACGCAGGAGAGAAACCTTACACCTGTCCCGAGTGCGGGAAGAGTTTTTCTCAAAGCTCCACCCTTATCGCTCATCAGAGAATCCACACCGGAGAGAAACCGTACAAATGCCCTGATTGTGGAAAGAGCTTCAGTGTGAGTTCCAATCTTGTTGCTCACCAGAGAATCCACACAGGGGAGAAGCCGTTTGGATGCCCTGTCTGTCTGAAAGGCTTTCTGGTCAGCTCCCATCTCATCAGGCATTTGAGAATACACACAGCCGAGAAACCTTACATCTGCCGAGAATGTGGGGAATGTTTCACTCAGAGCTCTCACCTTGTGGTACATAAGAGAATTCACACTGGAGAAAAACCTTACCTGTGTTCGGAGTGTGGGAAAAACTACCGTGGAATCTCAGATTTGATCCAGCACCAGAGAATTCACACAGGAGAAAGACCCTACAAATGCTCAGAGTGTGGGAAATGCTTCAGCCAGAGCTCATGTCTTAAAAAGCATCAGCGAATTCATACAGGAGAGAAACCTTACCAGTGCCTCAGATGTGGAAAAAGGTTTAATCGGAACTCCCATCTGACTAGACATCAAAAAATTCATACAGGGTGATGTCAGAAGGATGGTTCTCCAGAGGTTCATCTCCATAACTGACAGCTGTTGTACAAGAAATAAAGCTAGGTATCCTAAATAGCTTTCCCCCATTTTCCATCATCAGCAAAATCTTGGATATTTTCATCTTTACCTTTTCTTTCCATCTGTGATTAAGATCTGCTCTCCCGACTTCCTCCTCTCCATCTGTTCTATGACCTGTTTTCCACAGACTTATTGTACCTTAAACATTTTTTCAAGTTTTAAAATATCATCGTGATGCCAACCATCTTTAGAGATTCAGATTACTGAGTTTTCCAGTCAGCTATGGATTTTGAGTCTTTCCTGATGACCTTCAAGCAAACCCTCTAGTTTCCAAATAGAAGCTGTGATTTGTGATGGTGGAGAAAAAAAAAATAGTGAATCCTGGACTGATAAATATTTATACCAATCTGTGTGATGATGCTAAGATACACTTATTTCACTACTGTTGCAGTGCCTAAAACAACACATCATCCAGTGGACTTTTCTGGCTCTGAACTTTCACTGTACAGTTCATGGGAAGCTGTATGTTGGAGAATGTTCTGGACGTAGTTCGCCAGAGCCCAAACAAAAGAAGAAGAAAAAAAAGCAAAATGTGCTGTTTGTTTACTCCCCCAACTGCTGTCTCTGGGCTGTTTACAATTTAATCATGCAGCTTACACATTCCCTCCACCCCCCCCTAACAAGCTGGGTTGAATGACCTCAGAAGAATGGAAGTCAACCTCAACCTAGCTGCTTCAGCCCAGGATTGAACTGAGATCGTGAGCAGAGTCATCACTGCATTACTGCAGTTTAACCACTGTGCCACGAGACTCTGGAAAAAAAAAGAATAACTGGTGTGTTTCCTTTTCTTTGCCCCCCACTGCTTAATATTAGGCTTGGAATCTTGAATTACAAACCTGCATCCCTCTAATCCTTGGTGACTTGATTGAAGATGTTCCCTGTGTTGATGTTGGGGGCGTTGTCACAGCCCAGTGGTAGACACACCCTTTTTGCGTGCAGAAGACACCATTTTTAACTTCTGAGATTGCCAGTTTAAAAGGTCTCAGGGGTAGAGAAAGATTGACACATTTCCACCAATCGGAGTACAAAGTGCTGGGCTAAATGGGCCAGTGATCCAATTCCATACAAAGACATTGTCTGTGTCTGCTTGTTCCATGTTATTGACACCTGCTCTGATCTAGTACAGCATTCTACCCTAAGAAGTGGAGACAAAGCTTCTGTTGAAGGCCCTGTCTGGCAGTATGTGAGAACAATTTTGCATGCAGCGTGGGCTCTTGTAGCAACATCTGGGCTTTAAAATGTTGAAATACTCTTTTATCTTTTTTCTTTTTAGTCACAATTATAGTTTATAAACAGTAGATTGGGGTTATATGTTTTTCAAGTGACATTATGAACTTTGGTTTGATTCTCACTTTGGCCATGCTTGGAAGATGGCCTTAAGCAGTTCTCTCTCACACACACACACTCACTCACACACACACACACACACACATACAGCGCTCCCTTCCCATCTTTAATATAAGGATAATAATACTGAACAACCTGACAGGGTAGTAGTGTGCAAAATTGGCATGCAGTTTTGTGTAAAGTATGATGAACCTCCAAAAAAGTGTTATCTAAATCAAGCCTGAACTATCTGGAGGCAAAAACATCAAAACGGACTCTGCCCTACTTTGGGCACATTATTTGGAAAAGACAATATGCTGGGAAAGGAGGAATCAGCAGGAAAAGAGGAAAACTTAATGCAAGATGGACTTGGTCTCTAAAGGAAGCCACAAGTATGAGTCTACAAGAGTTGAGCAGGGCAGTTGAGGACAGGACTTTCTGGAGAGCACTCATTTACAGGGTTGCCTTGAGTTGGAGGCCACTTGACGGTATTTGGGTTTGAGATAAAGTAAGCCCCAAATGTGAGAAAGTTAATTTTGTGTTCCACTTGCATATTTCCATGCAAGTATAACCCTATCTGGAAATTATTACACTTTTCCCAATTGGAATCATGTTGGGGGGGACAAACGGACATGAGCCTACAAGACTCATCCTACTTCCTGTGTAATTTTCATCCATTTTGTCACAGAGGGTATCTTCCTTCATTGAGTCTGCTCTTCACCCTCTTAAGGATATGTGAGAGATCCATTCTGTTAGCTGTTGTTGTTTATTAACTTCCCTGATCTGCACCTCCTGATGTTTGCTAGAAAGGAGCACAATTTGCAGTTTGAAATCCGTACACTACCAACTTCCTAAACTAAAAAGAACTCATCTGACAACACGCAGGTGTTTGGAAAATGTGCACAAAAAGCACTGTAGATATTTCTGTAAGATGTAGAAGTACGCTTAAGTCAGTGGGACATCCAAAGCAAAGTGTGCTGCTTATATACCACCTCATATTGCTTAAAGCTCGCTCTGGGCAGTTAACAACTTAATTATGGAGGCTACATTTTGCCCACCTGCCCCAGTGAACTGGGTACTCAGTTTACTGACCTCAGAGGGATGAAAGGTTGAGGCAAGCTTGCTATCTCAATTTGGGATTGAACTTGGGCAATGTGCAGAGTCTTCACTGCAGTGCTGCAGTTGAACCACTGTGCCGCAAGACTCCTGCAGTGCCTCTATTTGAAAAGGTACACCGCAGCTGAAATCCTGTTGCTCAGATAGTAAATTACAGTGGGAATAGGAACCAGAGGTCTGGCACTAAATTGGTTCCAGTCCTTCCTCAAGGGTTGAGTCCAGAGAGTACAGTTTGGGCAGGAATTGTCAGCTTCATGGGGTGCCCCAGGGGGTCATCTATCTCCCCAGTGCTATTTAACATCTATATTAAGCTGCTGGGTGAGATTTGGAATGCACCGTCATCAGTATGCTGATTAACACAACTCTATCCTTTACAATTTTTTAAGTAGATGCTATCCAAATACTTGAACATTGCCTGCTGTCAGTTCTGCATTGAACTAAAGCCAACAGGCTGAACCTGAACCCAGGCAAAACAGAGATCCTCCTGGGAGACTCCTCCTTATTCTTGTTGTGGGGGAGGGATGGCTCTCCAGCGAGTGGGGCATCCCTCTTGCCTTCTGTCTCACAGGAGCATTCTGGACAGGATGGAAGATTGCTTTCCCAAGTTGGATGGTGTGACCCTCCCTCTTGTGGATCACGTCCGTAACTTGAGTGTATTCCTGGAATTGGACCTCCCTTGGGAAACCCAGATTGCAGCTGTAACCAGGTTAAGCTTTAAGACATCTGAGATTGAGGGCTCGGTTGTGACCCTCTCTGGATGGAAGGGAGCACTGAGGATGTTAGTACATGTGCTAATTATCTCAGAGATTGACTACTGTAATGCTTTCTGCGTGGGGCTTCTCTTGAAGCTGATCCAGAAACTTCAACAGGTATAGAATGTGGCTGCCAGGCTGGTGTCAAAGTGTAAATAAATTTGAGCACATCTCCCTAGTCCTGGCTTGCCTGCAGTGGCTGCCTGTGCTGTTCTGAGCCAGGCTCAAGATTTTGGTTCTTAACTGCAAAGCCCTCCATGGTTTGGGCCATCACTACTTCCTGTCCCTAAGAACATCATCCAGTCCACACAGACTGTGTTCCACCCAGTTTGCCACTTTAGAGAGAGGCCAGCAAGTCATCTACAAAGAAACCGGGCCTTCTCGATTGTGGCACCATCCCTATGGATTGGGCTCCCAGTGGAGCTGTGCCTGGCTCCCTCCTTTCCTACATTTAAGAGGATGTTAAAAGCTAGGCTGTTTCAAGAAGCCTTTAGAGGCATCTTTAGCTAAATGTTTTTTTAGATTTTGCCACTATCTTGCTATTGTTTAGGTTCTGAGTTTTTGCAGAGGTTTTGATTTTATGTTTTTAAAATTTTTATTTTGATTATTTAATGTCTTGTTTGTTACACTATAACAGTGGTACCTCGACTTGAGAACGTCCCTACATAAGTACGATTCGAGTTAAGAACGACTCCGTTCGCAAAAAGTTGCTTTGACTTGAGAATGGAGCCTTGACTTAAGAACCAACACAAAGGAAAAAAAACCCTTTCCTGCCCTTTTTTTGACCTAAGTTCACCTTAGGTCAAAAGAAGAATTAAAAAAAAAAAAAAAATCACCCCTAGTGGTAGATACGGATTAACCGGCTTTGCATTCGTTCCTATGGGAACTAATGCTTTGATTTAAGAACAATGCCTCGACTTAAGAACAAAAAACAGCAGATACGGATTAAATGGTTTTCAGTGAATTCCTATGGGAAATGGTGATTCGACTTAAGAACGTTTCGACTTAAGAACGCAGTCCCAATACGAATTAAGTTCTGAAGTCGAGGTACCACTGTAGTTCTTTGGTTGTCTCTTTGATGTAAACCGCCTAGAGTAGTGCCTAGCACTAATCTTGGTGGTATACAAGTTTTTGAAATGAGCAAACAAAAAACTAGTAGACACATTTGAGTCAATGGAAATTATGGAGGAGTTGACTCACATATTCCCCACTGATTCAGTGGGCCTACTGTTGTGTGACTTACTATGTTAAGCAACAAGATTTCAGCCATAATGTACGGATTTTTCTCCATTAAAAAAAAATCAGTAATGTAAAACAGACTTAGAGGTTGAAAGGGGAGGAAGTGGTCCAGAAACTGGCCCAAGTCTCAGTTGGGGAGCAAGTGGAAGGCAGAGAAATGCCCTTGAAAAAGGTCCTTGGGGAACCAGACAAAAGCCTGCTGCCTCCATTTCTCACACATAATTTTCAGAAATTCCTTTCATCTGCCTCTTAAGCCTGTGTTCCTGTTTTCATAGAACATTTCTAAGTTTAATTTTGATTAAGATGTACTATCCTGCCTGCTGTGTATTTTTTTTCCTGAATAAGGTATCTGATAGTTTTCTACTTCCAGTATAAGGAAGCGTTGTTGTTATTGTTGTTATTGCTGTTTTCCTTCAGTTCTAAATACCAAAAAATGTGTTACATGCCTAAAATATGCACAGAATCCTGTGCTTTCTTAGTGTTTGTGCAGAACAACACAATCCTGTATATGCTTCCTCATAGTAAATCCTACTGTGTTTCAGTGAGACTTACTTTCAGGTAGGTTTGCATAGGGTTGCAGCTGTAGGATGTGATTTAAAATAAAAAATATATAGAATGCTTTGGATAGCATAAGAATTATGGATTTTTTCTCCTGGCAAGACTGTTTGGTACATTCTGTGTATTTCACACAAGGATCTAGGGTGTAAAAGACAAAAAACTTTACAGAATATAGCCGGGGTGAGCAGAGAATCTGATACTTTTTTTTAAAAGTGCTACTTTGGTTTGCATTAAACAGGCAAGGTGCAGGATGACAAACTAGCACAAATGGGAGCTGTGGTGAGGGGAATGAGATGTTTTGTGAAGGGCAACTGAATAACATTTCAAATGTGAGAGAAAAAGCAATATCCACACCCTTGTGTAAAAAAGAACATTGGGAGGTGGCTCAGGCCCATAATGACTGGTACAAAGTAAGTCCTGGATGGATTTGGTTTTGAATAACATTCAGTTTGCCTTGTATATTCTGCAAAGTGGAATTGATTCCAAAAGTATTTTGGGATTGCACAGATACCAGTTTAATACTAGGGAATGTGATTTTATTTTATTTTCAGGACTACAAATACCATATTTCTCCATTGGGGGTGTTCTGCGTACCTTACAGCAGTGGTTCTTAACCTTTGTTACTCGGATGCTTTTGAACTGCAACTCCCAGAAACCCCAGTCAGGACAGCTGGTGATGAAGGCTTCTGGGACGTACCTTACAGAACCCAGTATGGTGGATAAAGTGATGGACTAGGACTCAGGAGGCCTGAATCCCCACTCAGCCATGGAAACTTGCCAGGTGGAACTGGTAAAGCCACTGCTTAAATGTCTCACTTTGAAAGCCCTATTAGGTTGAAATATTTCACTTTGAAAGCCCTGTTAGGTTGAAATGTCTCACTTTGAAAGCCCTATTATTGCTCTAAGTCAGTTTCAACTTGACAGCATAGAACAACATCCTACCTTACACATATCTTACAAAACCTACATGTGATGTACCTGGGGAAAAGACCTAGTCTGGAAGGCTTTGAGGCTAAATGAGGCCAAACTGTGCCAAAGCTTCCTGTTTGTTTATTTATTTAACTTACATGCCGCTGAGGCCAAATCCAAGCTTCCTGTTTGTTTACTGTATTTATTTAACTTACATGCCGCCCACACTACCCAAAGGTTCATGTCCCAGTGTTAGCTGGGAGCTTGCTTTCTGAGCAGGAAGACAGCGTTATCTGGGAGCTTGCTTTCTGAGCAGGAAGCTTAGTCAGGGCTTGGTCTTGCTAAACCTCAAATGTCTTCCACTTTAGGCCTTTCTGCCAGATGTATCACATTTAGGTTTTGTAAAATGTTTGTAAGGTAGAATTCCTAGAATGGAGAATCATAATAGTGCAGAAAATCCAAAAATCCTCTCCCTATTTAATACCACTTTGTCATGGTTCCATCATCAGATTTGTAGTTTGGTGCAATATTATGAATTCTAGGGAAGGGACGTGCACATTTGTAGGACTCTCCCAGAACACACGCAGCCAAGCAGACTTCTGGGAGTTGGGAACCAAAAACGAAACAGCCAAGCAGCCTCTCCTACCTCCATGCTCATATCAGGCTGCTTATGCTTTGACCTGCAAGGAAACTGGCCTGGTGCACTGGAGGAACCGCAAGGCTCTCTGGG